CAAGTCACAAGGCTATTGCAAGAATCCAAGTAAGAAACAATGGTAACTCGTGCTCGCTTCAGCAGCACATATACTAAAAAAAAAAAAAAAAAGAAAGAAAAGAAAAAGAAAAAGAAAAACAATGATAACTCAAACCAGCATGCTATTTTGGGTATTTTTTCAAGGTATGATTTGTTGACAGATCAGATGTGGAATATGGGAAAGAAGTCAAGGATGACTCCAACGATTTTAAGCTGAGCACCTGGAAGGACCGAGGTGCAGTTTAAGGAGATGAGAAAACTCTAACAGGTGCGGGGTAGATCTGGAATTGAGATTTGGATTTTTGCCTGGTACGCCTATAGACAGGTGCAAGTGGAAATGTTGAGCTGGAGGTGTGTGTTACATGCCTGGAATGGAGAAATCTGGGCTAGAATTGCAGATTTGGGAGTTGTCTGCGTATAGATGGTATTTAAAACCGCAGGACTGGATTAGATGACCAAAGGAAATGAGTGTATACTGAAAAGAAAACAAGTCCAAGGACAAAATCAGAGGCACTCCAGAGTGTAGAATTCAGGATGTGAGTTGCCAGGAGTAGGAAGAGAATGAAGACAAGAGTGGTCCTGGATGCCAAGTGTATATAGCATTCAAGCAGAAAGAACTCAGTCGTGTCAAATTTCACAGTTAGATTAAGGAACTTGAAGTCAGCATTGAGCAAAGGATTTACCAAATGAACGTCACTGCTAACCTTGTTTGGAGTTTGCTCAATGCATGAGTGAATGGATGTAACTTTTTCCACCATTTATTATCTGGCCAGGAACCAGGTACAAAGACTAGATCTTTTTTCTCCAGCAAGAGTTTGATGAGTTTGATAAGTGGTTGTAAAATGGATTGAATGAAATGGCTTCTCCCTCAGTGTCTGGCCTATCCCATTTCCTACTTTATTTTCCTTAGAATTGTAGAGGGTGGGAAACTGCACAAATTTCCCAAACCCTGGAAGCCAGGCTATCTGGATTGGCCGTGCTTACTTCTCTGTCCAATTCCACAGCACCACATAGTACCCTAAGCCCTTCAGGGCAAAAAAGTCATCAACATCCAAAAAGAAATCACTGGAAAACATGGGGCTGCAGATTTAAGTAATACAGTTCATTTAGTTAGGCGGTTGGGAGAAAACACACTCATGAGATAACTCATCAGTGCTCAATAAAATATTTTCTTTGAAATATTGATGATTCAAGGCATACTTACATAAAATACCAGTGAAAATTTAAGTCAGAACAGCTGGAGTTTTATGCATTGTTCTCTGCAAAGAGGAAGACTCTCTCCCTAGCCTAGTCTTCTATAGTAATCTCTTTTGAGTAGTTATTCTGCACCAGGAACTGTGCTAAGAAGCATTTATGGGCATTTAGCAAACTAAATCTTCACAACCATCCTACAAGAAAGGGACTATGGGGGCGCCTGGGTGGCTCAGTGGGTTAAAGCCTCTGCCTTGGGCTCAGGTCATGATCCCAGGGTCCTGTGATCAAGCCCTACATCGGGCTCTCTGCTCAGCAGGGAGCCTGCTTCCCCACCCCCTCCCCCGCCTCCCTCTCTGCCTGCCTCTCTGCCTACTTGTGATCTCTATCAAATAAATAAATAAAATATTTAAAAAAAGGTACTATGGACATCCCCAGATTATAGACAGCAAAATGGAGCCTGGGAAAAGACTGAAGGAACATTATATGGATTGAGTATCTTCCCTAGTGAGAGACTCTTAGGAGAGGACTGATCTTCATGAGACGTGTCCCCTGGACAGGTTAAGAAAGACCCCTACACTGCTTCTAGAAGGCAACTTTTCCTGGGAGGGCATGAGGGCATAGGCTGAGGCAAGTGGCCTTGGAAGGCAGCCTCCTGAGAGACAGGCTGGGGGTTGAGGGTGTAAAGGAGACTGCAGAGAGAAAAGAAGGAAACAAATAGCCTATCTGTTGAGCTTTCACCAGGCATCAAACATGGTCACTATTTTATCCTCAGTCACCTTTAAACTAAAAAGATATTGACTCCATTTTATAGGTAAAGAACCTAAAGCTTAGAGAGGGTAAGTAATTTCTCTAAAGTCACATAAATGTTAGCAAGGGGAGAAAGCAGAATTTCCCCACAGTTATATGATCTCAATGCTAAGCTCTTATCACATTCCCCAGAAAACTGGAGGTAGAACAAATGAGAGGTTCCTAGAGATGCACTACTGAAAGGCAGCCAGTGAAAAGAATTCTGGGGGCGCCTGGGTGGCTCAGACAGTTGAGTCTGACTCCTGGTTTCGATACAGGTCATGATCTCAGGGTCCTGAGATCGAGTCCTGTGTGGAGTTCTTTGTTCAGCAAGTCGTTGGCTTGTCCTCCCTCTGCTCCTCCCCACCCCTGCTCTGTCTCTTCTGTCTCCCTCACAAAGAGGATCTTAAAAAGGAAGGAAGGAAGGAAGGAAGGAAATAAGGAAGGAAGGTGAAAGAAGAAAGAAAGAGAAAGAAAGCAAGAATGAATGAATGAATTCTGTACAGTCTTCCCTGGCCATTCTTGGCTGTATGTGTATTGAGAGGCAGTCCATTTCTGTTATTCAGGGAGCAATTATTCCATTCTAATGGCAGGTTCAAGGCCATTTGCTCCTCTTGGTTTTCAACCATTTATTTCCCTACTCTTGCAAGTTCCTCTGTGAGGACCAGGGGAAAAGCAGAATGCTAACCATCCATGTAGGTAACTTGAGAAATGTCTTATTAGGGATATGGTTGGAACAAACGGCTAACATGATATTTTATATAATTTTGTCTGCCTGAATTATATGGAGCCCACATTAGTTCTGTTCATTGGGATCAGTAAGAAGTCACAGAGGGTCCTTACAGGTCTGTGGCCATTTGGTTTATGGTTGTTCAAAAATTTACGATAGTCACCAGCAACTAACTGATTGACCAAACTTTAGTCCTCTAAGCAGAATGGTGGATTCTCAGGGCTCAAGCCTCTCAAGAGGCTGTCTAGACTCACCCAGCCCGGGCCCCTCACCCTGGGAGGGAGCTCCCATCTCCAACCCGCCACACGGATGCCCTGGTCCTTTGCTGCAAGTCCTGCAGTGATGTGGCCCTCTGTCTCAGCAGTCAGCTCTCAGGACTGTGACCAGGGGGACTTGCTAGAAATCTCTTTTGGGCCACCTGGGTGGCTCAGTTGTTAAGTGTCTGCCTTCAGTTTGGGTCATGATCCTAGGGTTCTGGGATGGAGCCCCACAACGGGCTCTCTGCTCAGCGGGGAGCCTGCTTCTCCCTCTCCCACTGCTTGTGTTCTCGCTTTCACTGTCTCTGTCAATAAATAAATACAATCTTAAAAAAAAAAAAAAAAGAAATCTTTCTGTACTGAGGCACAATCAGCCTCCCACTGTGGCTTCCGTATATTTCCGCTCTCAGAAAAACTCAAAACCTGTCTAATCCTCTTCTATGACCTAATACTTCAAACATCTGAGGACAATACTGTTTCTGTTTTCTGCTCCTCCATCACCCAGTAGTTTAGTGGGGAACTTTAAAGTTTATTATTTATTTACTTTATCCTTTCAAAGCAAGTAAAAAGTATTACTTTTTGATTACATTATGATGCTGGCCCTTGTGCACCCATCCCCAAACTCTTGCTCCTTTTCTCCCCACCCCCTTTACCTTCTTACATATTTCTTTGGGCTACCAGATCCCAGTGCGGGGGAGACCCTGGTCGAAGCATTTAGAGTGCAGTGATTAATAGAAAATGGCGGTCATAGATTAGAGATTAACTATGGTGTGTGTTTACAAATGTGCCTCTAAACTGTGTAACTGTGGGTAATTTATCCAACCTTTCTGAACTCCACTTCCTCATCTGTAAATTGGGAATAATAAGCATACTTAATGCGCGGCTTGCGGTCGGTATTAAACTAGTGTTCCAAATCATTAGCTCTTGGCACTTCAGGAGGCTGTCCCAACTATCACCCCGCCTGCTTCACCTCACCGGACGTGAAAATGGGCCTAGAAGGGGGGTGAAGAGGTTTGTTAGAGGTCACAGTTAGTTAACAGCAGAGCGGAAACATAATTTCTGATCCTTGACCCCTGGCCGGTACTCCTTCCTGCTCCCCACTGCTTTTGCTGGTGTCCGCAGCCATCCACCATGTCTTTGTAGATTACAAAGTCACCCCTACAGGGCGCCTGGGTGGCTCAGTGGGTTAAGCCGCTGCCTTCGGCTCAGGTCATGATCCCAGGTCCTGGGTTCAAGCCCCACATCGGGCTTTCTGCTCGGCGGGGAGCCTGCTTCCTCCTCTCTCTCTGCCTGCCTCTCTGCCTACTTGTGATTTCTCTTCTGTCAAATAAATAAATAAAATCTTAAAAAAAAAAACAAAAAACAAAGTCACCCCTACAAAATAAAAGCATACAAAAAAAAAAAAAATCCAACAAACTCACCCCTTATCCCCCCATTGCTCGCTACACTGGGAAGCCTCTACCAATTAATCAATGACGAAGTCCGTGAGTTGGGGCCTTGACTTTTTCCCATTTAACAAAGGGGAAGGAAAGACACGGAAGACCCTCGGTCGACAAGAGTAATTAAAGGGTAATGGTAGTTCTGGGCGGGGCCGGGTCCACGAGAACTCGAGGTCCCAGCGCTTCTGTCATTTGCATTCCAATACAGCTACTTCACCCGCCCAGCCCCGCCCGCCGGCGGCTCCCGCACCCTCTGGCCGGCGGCCGGAGCACCTGCAGCGCGTAGGTGGAGGCTCGCCAGCCGGACCAGACTGCCAGGAGCCGGACTCCAGCGCCGGGCGTTCGAGAGGCGGGGCAGAGCCGTGAGTCCCGGCCCGGGGGCGTGGCCTCGCGCAGGTGCGCAGAGCGGCTCGGGTTTCACTGAAACTTAACCCCGCTCCGGGGAGGCGCCAGGAGAGACTTGGATTGGTGCAGGTGAGATCGCGGCTTCCTCGCCGAGGGGCGAGTGGGACTCCGAGTTTCGAATCACTGCCGGCGAGTGCCCTGCCCGCCCGACGTCGGGTCTGCAGGAAGGATGCGAGGCATGAGCACGGCCTGGCTGCTGGGGGGCGCCATCCTGCTGGCGGCCTCCGTCTCCTGCAGTCACACCATCCAAGGTGAGAAATTGGTCAGGGAGGGCTCCTGTAGTTACGGAGCGGGGGTCCAAGGCACACTGGCAGGTGGTGGAAGCGGGCAGGTGCTCGAAGGGTGTCCTGCTGCAGCTGCCACCACTTCCCGCATCCACCTCTAGGTGACTTCGATGGGGATCCCTGCGCCGGGAGGGCTTACTGGCTAGGTAGGACATCCTGGAGAGGCAGCGGCCCGCGGAGGGAGAAGGAGGGAATGGGCTCAGCCTCCCTGCCCCCGGTTGGCTTCTTTGTAAACTAAGGAGATTTCCGCCAATACTGAGGGGCTGGCCCCTCAGGACCCTTTGGAGTTAGTTGGCTCGGAGCGGTGTGGAATGGGTGAGAGCCCGAGGCCTGAGAAACGTCTGTGTCGCGTGTTTTTTTTTTTTTTTTTTAAGATTTTATTTATTTGACAATGAGAGAGATCACAAGTAGGCAAAGAGGCAGGCAGAGAGAGGGGAAGCAGGCTCCCCGCTGAGCAGAGAGCCCCATGCGGGCCTCGATCCTAAGACTCTGGGATCATGACCTGAGCCGAAGGCAGAGGCTTAATCCACTGAGCCACCCAGGCGCCCTGTGTCGCTTTTTGCGACCCCCCTTGGGCTTTTGGAACCGCGTCTTCGGGGTGGGCTCACGTAGTTCCAAACTTTCCGGGGGGTGGGGCGCAGAGCTCCTCCGGCACTGTGGATGCCCCAGGTCTGGAAGGGCTGGACCCGGCTGGTCTTGGGCGCAATGAGCGCTCAGCCTCGAGTTTTAGACAAGTTGCGCGTCGCGCGGATTTTACAAATGGGATTTCCTGGACTTTGCCTTCTATTCGGCTAGGTGATCTTACGGCCCCGGCTTTCGGGCCTTTGTGTGCCACACGTAGCATACTTTGGCTGGCACTCAGGTGTGTACGGCCGAGGCTGCCAGCTCCGGGAGTGGAACACGGAGCGGCACGAGAGCGGCAGGGCGGTGCTGACTTGTGCGGGGGCTGCTGGCTTCCCCAGTTGTGCTGCGCGGGGTGTGCTCCAGCCTGTCCTCCCGGGGGCGGGGTCTCCCCGGCTGAGCAGGCCTCTACGGGCCTGGGGGTTCCTCGGCAGGAATCACGCTACTGCGTTGCTACGGCTGGCCGGCTGTTTGGAGCTGCCAGAGTAGCCTTAAAAGGGAGGTTTTCATTTCCCTGCGAAATTTGCAGACCTGCTGTAAAAGGCGGGTCACTTTTTATCTTCTTCGTAAAAACACTGTAAAAGAGCAAATCACTGTCGGTTTGAATTATGAATTAGACCGAAAAATGTGACCCTTCTTCCTCTGCAGTTACAGAAAAGGATGTTATATATACTTGAAAACTGCACCACTGTATACATTTTATTGGTCAGCGTTAGAGTGAAGGCATTTGTTTATTACCAGGAACATTGAAACTGTGGTGAACACTTTGCGATTTGCCTCTGTCTTTTTAAAGTTGGACCCTTAGGGGCGCCTGGGTGGCTCAGTGGGTTAAAGCCTCAGCCTTCGCCTCAGGTCATGATCCCAGGGTCCTAGGATCGAGGCCCGCCTGGGGCTCTCCGCTCAGCGGGGAGCCTGCTTCCCCTTCTCTCTGCCTGCCTCTCTGCCTACTTGTGATCTTTGTCCAAAAAAAAAAAAAAAAAGAAAAACTTAAAAAAAATTTCTTTGGCTTTAAAGTTGGACCCTTAAAATTCCGGGGCAAAACTAAGGATGTGAAAACATTAAAAAAAAAAAATATGTAGGTGTAGATGACTGAATGCTTTTCTGATTCCACCAAAGATACACCCTTCTCATTTTACAGATGGGGGCCACGAAATTGGGGTGGAGGTAGGGAAGACACTCCATCAGACCACATTTGCATTCTTGTCCCAGCAGTAATTGACAGTTGTTTGTGTAAATACGTTTAATTTGTCTCCACATTGGATAATAAACTCTGGAAGGCCAGGGACCCTAGTGTCATCATTACCACCATAGTCATAGAGGAAGATAGCCCTGAATATTTGACTTACTGTTTACAAATTGAGAGGACTGAGTTGTGGGGGTGTGCACTGGTTCCTGGAGAATATAGTGAACTTGTTTAACAACAACAACAACAAAACCAAGTTACTTGTTAACCAGAACTATTTAATATTGCTCCTTGAGGGTTGTTTTTTTTTTGTTGTTGTTGTTTTTTCCCTCCACAAACTTTTGTTCCTTTTGCATAGTAACTTTCCTAAAGGGTTGGTAAAGTGACAGACATTAAGGTAGGTGGAGCTTTTCTCAATGGAGTATGATTGAGAAATAGAGCATCCCAAGGTTTTTCTGCCCTTAGTATACTTCTTTGCTCATCCCTTCATAGTTTGACCGTTATGCATGCTCCTCAGTTTCCTACAGGGCAGATACTAGGTTTGATTTTCTTCTCAGTTTTCTTTTTTGTGGACTGACTACCTCCACCAAAGATACACCCTTCTCATTTTACAGATGGGGGCCACGAAATTGGGGTGGAGGTAGGGAAGACACTCCATCAGACCACATTTGCATTCTTGTCCCAACAGTAATTGACAGTTGTTTGTGTAAATACGTTTAATTTGTCTCCACATTGGATAATAAACTCTGGGAGGCCAGGGACCCTAGTGTCATCATTACCACCATAGTCCAGCACAGTCTCATTATCTAAAGGAGCTCAGTAAATACCAAAAGAGGAATGAAGTGAGTGGGTTTGCCCAGAGTGGCTGCGTAGGGTGGTAGCGGTTGGGGATTTACATCAGCTTGTTTTAGGCATTTACTATTTTTTTTTTTAAGATTGTATTTATTTATTTGACAGAGAGAGACAGCAGAGAGGGAACACAAGCAGGGGGAGTGTGAGAGGGAGAAGCAGTCTTCCCATCAAGCAGAGAGCCTGATGCAGGGCTCTGATCCCAGGACCCTGGGATCATGACCTGAGCCGAAGGGGGACGCCTAATGACTGAGACACCCAGGCGCCCCTAGGTGCTTATTTCTTTCTGCCATGTCACAAGCCTGGGAAGTCCCCTGTGATGCATTTGTTTTTCTTTTGGAGCCTGAAAGTTCTGTTCTCTTTGTAACTGATTATGAATTACACAAGTAGTATGTGATCTAGACACGTTCTGCAGAGCAATAATGAGCATAGTTGTGTGGAGGGGTAGAGGGGGAGGGAGAGAGAATCCTAAGAAGGCTCCACCCCAGGCATGCCACAAAAAAATTTTTTTGAAAAAGAAAAGTTTAATTAAATCATATTCAGTACTCAGGGGCACCTGGGTGGCTCATTTCGTTAAGTGCCTGACTCTCAATCTCAGCGCAGGTCTTGATCTCAGGGTACTGAGTTCAAGCCCTGCTTTGGGCTTCATGCTTGGTATGGAGCCTACTTTAAAAAAAAAAAAAAAAAAAAAAATCATTTTCAGAGCCCTGAGTGGCTCAGTTGCTTAAGGGTCTGATTTTGGCTCAGGTCATGATCTCAGGGTCCTGGGATCAAACCCTGAATCGGGCTCCCTGTGCTCTCTCTCAAATAAATAAATAAAAATCTTTCTTAAAGAAAATCATTTTCAGGGTGCCTGGATGTCTCAGGCGTTAATCTTCTGCCTTTGGCTCAGGTCATGATCCAGGGTCCTGGGATCAAGTCCCATGTTAGGCTCCCCGCTCAGCGGGAAGCTGGCTTCTCCCTCTCCTACTCCCTCTGTTTGTGTTCCCTCTCTCACTGTCTTCCTCTCTGTCAAATAAATAAACAATATTAAAAAAAAAAATCATTTTCAGTACCCAAAGTAAACCACTGCTGACATCATACATCCATGCATAAAATACGTACTTACCCGAAAATCTTTTTGTGGGGCACCTGGGTGGGCTCAGTCTGTTAGGCTATGGACTCTTGGTGTTGTTGGCTCAGGTTGTGATCTCATGGATCGTGGGATCAAGCCCCATGACTTGGTCCTGTCCCTCCCCCTACTCGTGGAGCCCTCTCCCCAATAAATAAATCTTTATCTTTTAAAAAATATTTTATTTATTTATTTGATTGAGTGAGAGCACGAGTAGGGGTAGGGGCAGAAGGAGAAGCAGATTCCCAGCTGAGCTGAGCAGGGAGCCCAGCGTGGGGCTTGATCTCCTCCGGATGGCGCAGTCATGACCCCAGCTGAAGGCAACTGCTTAACTGATTGAGCCACCCAGGTGCCCCTAAATTAAAAAAAAAAAACAACAACACAGCAAAACATTTTAAAATTCTATAGTATGTTCTAGGAGGATTTACAATAATTTTTAAATTAGTCTTCTGTTAATAGATGCATTGGGTATTTCTGGTGTTTTGTAGTAAGAGAGAAATATTATTATAAATGTGAAGATGGGACTCTAAATTTGTGTTTGGTTTCTTGCTTGCCTTGTGCATAGTTACTAATTAACCTGGATAAATGATGTTTTGGTCAAGTCTGTGTTTGACTTTCTTATGGTTTTATTAGCTAGGCAAGTGTTGAGACGAAAACAGCTCATCCTGAAAGAAAAATGAAAATTTACTAATGTGTACCTGGGGTGGGTGGGGGGGCTGGATCCTCTGGTATTTGAAGCTTTTCGTTTTCAGCCTATGTTCCCAGAGGTTGAAAGCAAATAGATTTGGGGTGAGGGAGTAGTAGAGAAAAGGATACAAGGGGAGAGAGAGTTAACACAAATAAAATACTTGCTCAGTACTTGTGGTTTGGTGGGAGGGGCGGGCCACAGAAGAATGCTTCCAATAGCAAAGAGCAAGTAGTAGTTTCAAGATTTATATACGTATTTAAGAGAATGGGGGCAGGGCAGAGGGAGAGAGAATCTTAAGCAATGAGTGCAGAGCGGGATCTCACAAGCTTGAGATCATGACCTCTGCTGAAGCCAAGTCAGATGTTCAACTGACTGAGCCACCCAGGTGCCCCACAGGTAGTAGTTTCAAAGTTAAAAGTTTTTCATACATTTTTCTTGAAAGTAAACCAGAATTGTTTTAAAAAGGTGAAAAATCCCCCATTCTCTCTCCTCTCCAGTTTCAGCCGACTTCTATGGACAAATAATATATATTTTATAACAATAGAAGGATTTTATTGTATATACCCTGCAACAGTTATTTTTCTAACCTTACCTGCTCATGGTCACTGTAGGGAAATCTGTCCATACTTTTATAGGGGAGAATATTATTCATTTTATAAATGTCATAAGCTACTGAACTAATCTCCTTTTAATTTTTTAAATTTAATTTTTAATTAATTTATAATTTATTTTAAGTAATCTTTGTGATTATTGTGGGGCTCAGACTCGTGACTTAGAGATCAGGAGTTGCATGCCTTACCGACTGAGCCAGCCAGGCACCCCAAACTGGTCTTCTTTTTAATGGTTGTTGAGACTAACATTTTTGTTTTGTTAGGATAAACAATAGTGCAGTACATATTCTTGTACATTCAGTATTTCTGTGCACGTTAGCTAGTATATGTGCAGGGCAAATTTCTATAACTAAGTTGATAGGTCCTGGGGCAAGTACACTTTAAATTTTCCTGTTTTGCCACGTTGACCTCCAAAAAGATTGTACCAGTTTACATTCTTTTGACAAAGAAATGTAGAGGCGTGTGAAGATAAAAAGGAAAGTTCTCCCCTACCCACCCACTTTACTCCACAGAGATGGCTTTTTATACTTTGGTGGATATCCCTCTAGATTTCAGATGTTGCATATAAATGTATATTTTGTTACACAGATGGAAGCATGTTGTTCTGTCAGTTGCTTTTTTCTGTCGACAGTAAAGTGCAGTTATTTTTGCATTTCAAAGATAGGTAGAGCATCAGCTATTAATGTTAGGGACCATCTGGGGATTTGGTAAGTTAGGAATAGAGGTTGATGAACATTGTTTATTTCCTGTTGCAGTGGGGGTGGGGGATGCTGCCTTGAGTATTGGCAGGTAGGTATTCTTGCATACTTGGGCAAATGCTATTGATTACAGCCCATAAATGGAGCTGCTTTTATACCCAGTCCTTCATATGTGTTCAGAATTCATATGTGCATTTAATTTTTTCCCCACTATGAAATAGAAATGATTTTACCAAGGGGTGGGGGGGGTGCTCCTGGGTGGCTCAGTCTGTTGAGCATCTGACCCTTGGTTTTGGCTCAGGTCATGATTTGAGGGTCGTGGGATTGAGACCCCCATCGCATAGTGCATAGTCTGTTCAGGATTCTCTCCCTTTCCATCTCTCTCTCCCTTTCCATCTCCCTCCCCTTGTTCACTCATGCACGGGTTCCCTCTATCTCAAATAAATAATATCTAAAAAAAATGATTTTACCCTGTTTACAGGTGGGAGGTTATGGGTAGGTAGATAGATAGTTGGGAGCTGGGATAGTATCAGTTCTAGACAAGTTCTGTGAGTCTTGGTGACTGGTACAGAGCATTGCATGGGGTAAACATCTGTGCACTATGCTGAAAGGCCTCTAAGGATCTTTGAGTAGCATCTTGATGTTCACTAGTGTTAAACAGCATGCTATTTTTGTGCTCTGTGACCAGTACAGTGCATACAGTTAACAAGTATGCTGTTTTTGATTGAGACAATTCAAGGACGTATTTTAGAATATTCTCAGGAAATTGCTCTCAATCCCTCCTTCCTTTTCTTTCCTCTTTTTTTTAAAGCGTTTCTTGCTCTTTTTCCCCTCTCTTTATTTTAGTATTCTTACTTAAAACAAAATTTGATCTCTTTACATCAAGCTCCTGACCTTATGTGCTTGATACTATGGAGAGTTTTAAACATCTGAAAGTAGATTATAGTGAATCCATGCACTCCACACTCGGGTTGTAGCATGTATCATTACTTCTTTTATTGCCAACTAATATTCCATTGTATGCATATACCACGTTTTGTTTATCCATTCATCCATTGATGAACTTTTGGGTTGTTTCCCCCTTTTCTAAAATTTTTAATTATTTTTTTAATTTTTAAAGATTTGTTTATTTGACAGAGACAGAGAGAGAACACAAGCAGGGGCAGAGGGAGGGGGTAAGCAGGCTCCCTGCCAAGCAGGGAGCCTGATGTGGGGCTCAATCCCAGGAACCCAGGACCATGACCCGAGCCGAAGGCAGCCGCTTAACCGACTGAGCCACCCATGTGTCCCTGGGTGTTTTTTTTACTGTGGGTTTTAATCAAGTATCAGAGGAATACTGTAATATGTAGCAATATTTTATTTTATTTATTTATATTTATTTTTTAAAGATACTATTTATTTATTTGACAGAGAGAGACTCAGCAAGAGAGGGAGCACAAGCAGGGGGAGAGGGCGAGGGAGAAGCAGGCTTCCCGCTGAGCAGGGAGCCCAACATGGGGTTCGATCCCGGGATCCTGGGATCATAACCTGATCTGAAGGCAGATGCTTAACAACTGAGTCACCCAGGCACCCCAATATTTTTTTTTTAAGATTTTATTTATTTGACAGAGAGAGATCACAAGTAGGCAGAGAGACAGGCAGAGAGAGAGAGGGGAAGCAGGCTCCCTGCTGAGCAGAGAGCCGGATACAGGGCTAGATCCCAGGACCCTGAGATCATGACCTGATCTGAAGGCAGAGGCTTTAACCCACTGAGCCACCCAGGCGCCCCTCTGCCTCCATTTTCATACGGTTTTCTCCTTTTGGTCTTGTCTTCTGTTTTTCTCAAGTTTCCCCCTGCCTTTCTCTTACAAAGACACTTGTCATTAGATTCGGGGCCCACCTAGATAATCCAGAATGGTGTTCTTGTCTCAAGATCCTTAATTATGTCTATGAATATCCTTTTTTTTTTTAAAGAGAAGAATTTTATTTATTTATTTATTTATTTATTTATTTATTTGAGAGAGAGCACACAGGAGTACACAAGCAGGAGGGGAGAAGTGGAGGGAGAGGGAAAGAGAATCTCAGGCAGACTCCCCACTGAGCACAGAGCCTGATGTGGGACTGACCTCAGGACCCTATGATCATGACCTGAGCAGAAATCAGGAGTTAGATGCTCAGCTGACTGAGCCACCAGTTGCCCCCCAAAGATCCTTTTTTCCCTCCCTCTCTCCCTTCCTTCCGGTCCTCTTTATTAGAGAGAGAGAGGAGAGACAGAGCACAAGGAGGGGGAGAGGGAAAGGGAGAAGCAGACTCCTCTCTGAGCAGGGAGCCCAGTGTGGGGCTCGGTTCCAGGACCCTTGGGTCATGACCTGAACCAAAGGCAGACGCTTAACTGACTGAGCCACTCATGCGCCCTCCCTCCATGAACACTTGGTTAGGCAGGATGTAGGCTGGGTATGCCATTTGTGTGTGGTTTCTAAAGTTTAATGCAGATACGGAAATGACAGCATAAATTGTTGGTACTTGATTGAAAGTCGGAGATTTGTCTAACACAAATAGTGCACTGACATGTTCAGTGACCCTGAGGTCAGAAGACTTGCCTGCCAGCTGGCCTCCATAGGAAGGTTACCAGGAGGCCCACACAGAAGCAGGGGAATCCCTGCCCATGGCTTGCACTGTCCTTGTGGGTAGAGAGGGAATGTCCCTTGTGCTCCTGGAAATCTCCCTGTGTCAGACTTTGGGAGAGGGAACGACTGGCCAGGCTGGATCCTGTCTCACAGCCGGAGAGAGATGGCCATTGTAACAACAGTTAGGAGCTAATAACTGTGGATGGTTTGTAAAAAATAAATTGAAATACTCAGCTTCTTTTGAGTCCTGGAAATCAATGTTCTATTTCACATGTATCCTACAACCTTCCAATAAAAAAAAAATTGTAAAAACAAAGAAACAAAACCCAATAATCCCATCACCTGAAGAAAGCACTTGTAAGCCTTTTGTATACTGCTGTCTTTGTCTAAAGTACTTTTATTTAAAGATTTTATTTACTTACTTGAGTGAGGGAGAGCACATGCAAGCGGTTGAGGGTGAGAAGAGGAGGAGAGGGAGAGAATCTCCAGCAGACTTCACACTGAGCACAGAGCGAGGTAGGGCTCAGTCTCATGACCCTGAGATCATGACCTCAGTGGAAACCGAGAGGCAGACACCTAACCAACTGAGCCACTCAGGAGCCCCTGAAGTACTTCTATTTAAACCATTACTGCTGAAAGAGTAATCCCTGTAGTGACCCTTGTCTGCCTTGCCTTTTTTGTATAGGAACCAATAGAACCTCCAAAGGAAGAAGTCTCATTGGTAAAATTGAGAGCTCCTCTCAGATCACTGGGAAAGGAGTTAACGTGGAACCAGGCTTTTCTGTGGATGAGTTTGCTGCCTCCGTCCTCACTGGAAAACTGACCACCGTCTTTCTTCCAGTTGTCTACACAATTGTATTTGCGATTGGTTTGCCAAGTAATGGCATGGCTCTGTGGGTCTTTCTTTTCCGAACGAGGAAGAAGCACCCTGCTGTGGTTTACATGGCCAATCTAGCCTTGGCAGACCTCCTCTCTGTGATCTGGTTCCCTTTGAAGATTGCATATCACATACATGGCAACAACTGGATTTACGGGGAAGCTCTTTGCAAAGTACTCATTGGCTTTTTCTATGGCAACATGTACTGTTCCATTCTCTTCATGACCTGCCTCAGTGTGCAGAGGTATTGGGTCATTGTGAATCCCTTGGTGCACCCCAGGAAGAAGGCAAACATTGCCTTTGGGCTCTCGCTGGGAATATGGCTTCTGATTCTGCTGGTCACCATCCCCTTGTATGTCGTGAGGCAGACTGTGTACATTCCAGCCCTTAACATCACAACCTGCCATGATGTGTTGCCTGAGGAGGTGTTGGTAGGGGACATGTTCAATTATTTCCTCTCTCTGGCCATCGGAGTCTTTCTGTTCCCAGCCTTCCTCACAGCCTCTGCCTATGTGCTGATGATCCGAACACTCCGGTCTTCTGCGATGGATGAAAACTCGGAAAAGAAGAGGCAGAGAGCCATCAAACTCATTGTCACCGTCCTGGCCACCTACCTGATCTGCTTCACTCCTAGTAACCTTCTGCTTGTGGCCCATTATTTCCTGATTAAAACCAGGAGCCAGAGCCACGTCTACGCCGTGTACATTTTAGCTCTCTGTCTTTCCACGCTCAACAGCTGCATTGACCCCTTCGTCTATTACTTTGTTTCCCAAGACTTCAGGGATCACGTGAAGAATGCACTCCTCTGTCGAAGTGTCCGTACTGTGCAGCAGATGCAGATATCCCTCACGTCACAGAAGTTCTCCAGGAAGTCCAGCTCTTACTCTTCGAGTTCAACCAGTGTTAAGACCTCTTACTGAGTTATTCAGCATCTCTGTAAAACCACGGGGGGATTTGGAGCCTGCTTAATGTACCAGTGTGTTTCTGTTGTTCTCTGACCCAGTGGATCTCACCACACACCATATATATGGAGCACCTCTGAGGATGGCTAGAAGCTTCCCTGTTAGCATGAGGGAAGTCTCCCAAATCAACCAAGATGGCAGTTTCAGAATTCCTCTCTTCAGGTACTTCCGGAAATGGAACTAACAGAAGCAGACTTCTCAGAAGGCAGTGAGAAAACAGAAGCTCAGGGCCACTAGTTCTTACCAGTGCTGACGTGAAGGCACAGTTCGTAGGAGAACGTTAAAGCCATGTGGCAGCTTCCGTGTCCTCTGAGATGAGCAGATCAAGGGACTGACTGTACAGATGAGGAAAGTGAGGAGGTGAAGAAGCTACGCGATTCAGGGTCGCTTCCATTCCAACCAGGGGCAGCGGTTAGGATTGGACTGTAGACTTAGTGCATTCACTGGGGTTCTACACCTCCTGTGGATCTTGTTTAAAAATGCGGGTTCATCAGACTCAGGAATGAGAGGGCTCAGGGTCTGAGGTAACTGCATTTTAACAGGATTCTGCCACGCACACTCGGGCTCACCCAGGTTTGAGAACCGCCGGTCTGGGTCCCAAGGGAGAAGCAAACTGCTGTGTGTCTCTTCTGTGAGAATACATTGAAGATTTTAAATGTGGAAACACAAAGTTCGTGTAACTTTATATCGACTCAATCTTCAGGTGTTCTGAGATATAGATGGTTTCAGAGTAAGAGGGGATTTTACCACTTAGTGTTTTCTAGAATTATAGTTGAATTATTTATTGTCAGTTTTTTTTTTCACTTGCTACAAATACGAAATTGTAATGCCTTCACTATATTTGAGCCACATCTGTTTGGAAAAGAATGCAAAAGAGATGTGATTTGTAATATATTTAGGGGGTACGTATTCCAAACTGAATTTATATAACTTGTATTTGTGAATTTTTGGAAATAATCTCATTGTAATGATTGATTTATAAATAACACATGACCCTTTTTTACAACTTATTTTTGAGTTGTGTGTTTTGTGGGTTTTTTAAAGGAGAGTGTGGGAAAAGGGAAGCCCCAGCATCACTCCTATAAAAAGCAATGTGATGCTTACGCCATATTTTCCTAGGTAAATAGCGCCAATAGAGTACATATTGCTTGATGACAGTTGTTTTCACATAACGTTTTAGAATTTCTTCCATTCACTGTCTGTTCACTGACCTCCATTTTTCATGGATACAGACTCTAATTTGGGGATATATTAAGATGTATTTAGCCATTCCCCTAGCAATGTCTCCTGAAGTCTCTCTCTTTTTGTTTTTATTGTTATTGTTGTTATTAAAACGGTGCTGCACTGGACATCTGTGTAGACATGTTTGTGAGTATTTCTGTAGGATAAGTTCCTAGAAGTGGAATGACCAGGTCAGAAGTCCGATTACCATTTTAAATTTTGGTAACTCTTGCCAAATTGCCTTCAGTAATTTATATTTCAATCAAAATAGTACATTTGCACCTGTTTCCTGAAATGCTCATCCATATTTAGTCTGTCAGTCTTTTACAATTTTGCTAATCTGACTAGAAACAGAATCTTACGTCCTAATTTGTATGGAAGCAGCATAGCCTCATGGAGAAACAGAGCTGACGTCTGACCCCCTCATAGTTTGTTTCATGAGCTAAGGGAAGATCCTTCCCTGTGCCTTAGTTTCTCAGTTGTAAAATGAGGATAATGGTGTTTTCCTTATAGAGGTACAAGGATTAAGTGTTCGGCACATGTATGCACTCGTAAATATCATGGAGCACTGTGACTGTTACTCTCTGACTGCTGATGAGATGTCATTTCTGCTCCACCCCCTTTCCCCTTTCAGTGCCTGTTTATACGCTTGCCTTCCCTGCACGCTCTGCTTGGCGTCTCATAGCAGGCTTGGGTTGTCTTCATTTTACAGGTAAGAAAGCAAAAAGGTGGTGGACACAGAAGAAAAGGAAGCAGAAGCAGATGGCTCACAGGGGCCCTGCAGGTAGTGTATGGACTGATCCAGTGGAAAAACTTACTTTGGTATTTGCATTTCTTTATTACTCATTTTTATCATACATGCTGGTATATTAAACTGAACAAGAACATATGATATGAAAATTTTCTTTCCTAGCTATGCCCATTCTCATCTCCCAAAGAAAACAAATTTTTATAGTAACTTATTTCTAAAATATCTATATTCTATATTAAATATCTTAAATATATATCTTAAATATTATATATTAAATATCTTAGGGATGCCTGGGTGGCTCAGTTGGTTGGTTGGACAACTGCCTTCGGCTCAGGTCATGATCCCGGAGTCCCAGGATAGAGTCCCACATCGGGCTCCCAGCTCCACGGGGAGTCTGCTTCTCTCTCTGACCTTCTCCTCGCTCATGCTCTCTCTCACTGTCTCTCTCAAATAAATAAATAAAATCTTAAAAATAAATAAAGGGGCGCCTGGGTGGCTCAGTGGGTTAAGCCACTGCCTTCGGCTCAGGTCATGATCTCAGGGTCCTGTGATCAAGTCCCGCATCGGGCTCTCTGCTCAGCGGAGAGCCTGCTTCCCTCTCTCTTTCTCTGCCTGCCTCTGCCTACTTGCGATCTCTGTCAAAAAATTAAATAAAATCTTAAAAAAAAAATAAATAAATATCTTAAATACATGAATATATAACGTGTGCACACATGTTAACTTATAAATCCATTAATGTGGATCTTCCTAATTTTTTAAAAATATATTTTTTAAAGATTTATTTATTTATTTATTTAGAGAGCAAGCACAAGTTGGGGGAAGGGCAGAAGAAGAGGGAGAGAACCTTAAGCAGACTCGCAGACTGAGTGCAGAGCCCCACACGGGGCTCAATCCCATGCCCCTGAGATCATGACCAGAGCTGAAATAAAGAGTCAGATGCTTAACCAACTGAGCCACCTACCCTTTTTCATTACTTCTTTTTTTTTAAAGATTTTATTTATTTATTTGTCAGAAAGAGAGAGAGCGAGCGAGCGAGCACAGGCAGACAGAGTGGCAGGCAGAGGGAGAAGCAGGCTCCCCACAGAACAAGGAGCCCGATGTGAGACTCAATCCCAGGACGCTGGGATCATGACCTGAGCCAAAGGCAGCTGCCCAAACAACTGAGCCACCCAGGCGTCCCCTTTTTCATTACTTTTAATGACCAGGTAGTATTCCATGTATGGGTGATTATTATTAGTTTCCTAAGGAAGAGGGTTGTTGTCGATGTTGGTTCATTTTTCATCAAACTTCTTTTTTTTTTTTTTAAAGATTTATTTATGTATTTAAGAGAGAGGTTGCTGTGCATGCCAGCAGGCAGGGGGAGGCACGGAGTGGGGGTGAGGGAGAAAGCAATCTCAAGCAGACTCCTCACTGAGCAGGGACACTCAGTCCTACTGCCCGTGAGACGAAACCACAAGTTAGATGTTTAACTGACTGGCCCATCCAGGCAGTGGGGTCCACATTTTTAAATCATCTACAAATTTAAATCTTATGCACTCCACTGGCTCCATTCAAATTAAAAGGGCCATCTTCTTTTCTTTCTTTTTTTTTTTTTAAAGATTTCATTTATTATTTGACAGAGATCACAAGTAGAGAGACAGGGAGAGAGAGTGGGGGAAGCAGTCTCCCCGCTGAGCAGAGAGCCTGAACCAGGACCCTGAGATCACCAGGACCTTGAGATCATGACCTGAGCCAAAGGCAGTAACTTAACCCCTGAGCCACCCAGGCACCCCTAAGAGGGTGGTCTTAAAGTGAATGTGGATTTGTGCAGGCAAGAATGCTTAACTGCCTGGTTTGGAGTTGTTTTATGGATACTTCCTGGGTGTCACTTTTGTCGTTCATAGCAGCAGTTTCAGACTAACTGATTTCCTGATCACCAGGATATCATAAATCCTGGGGCTGTAATCTCATCAGTATGCCTAGTTCAGTGATTATAACTTTCTTCCTGGAACTTGAACTCACTGGAGGCCCTTGGGAGGATTGGACTATGTTAACAGAATCAAAGGTAAATTTTGTCACTGCTTCCCCCAGTCTTACTGATCAAAGTCGTCTTTCTGTGCTGCAGAGTTTAGATGTTGTCTTTACGAGAGAAGTTTTTGATTCCACTAGTCAGAGGCATGTGTCATCCACCCCCAGTTCTAAAGAAGAAAGAAATAAAAACCTCTGACAGATGAGTCCCACATTTTTTTAAAGCCTAGGAACCTCACAGAGACGGGGGTTCTCCACACCTTGTCTTTATTAAGGAGAGTCTGAGCTGGCTCGGGTGTAGGCTGCTCTTGCCTCCATGAGTCAGTCATTTGGTGGAGTATTTCCCAGCTCTGTCTATTGGCGAGTGAGTAGGCTCAACTGGAGTTAAGGGCCATCCCCTCCTGCAGAAACCATTGCCCGAGCCTGCAGCCTCCATGGGGAGCTCCAGGCAAGCCATCAGCACCTAGCAGCAGGGGGAGTGGGAGAGGGATAGGCAGGCTTCCTGGTGAGCAGACAGCCAGGGACGGGGCTCAGTCCCAGGACCCTGGGATCATGACCTGAGCAGAAGAAGCAGACACTTAATGACTGAGCCACACAGGCACCCGCTGCACCTTTTAAAAAAAGATTTTATTTTTAAGTAATCTCTACACCCAACCTGGGGCTTGAATTCACAATCTTAAGATCAGGAGTCTCACGCTCTACTGACTGAGCCAGGCAGGTATCCTGGCACTTACCTTTTGAGCAGAAAAGAGTCTTTTAAAAAGATTGAAAAGGACTGGCCACTGGGGCAGAGAGAAAAGCCAAAGAAGGGAAGCCAAGGATGTGCAGGAGAGAGTGGTCAACTATGTAGAGTAAAACACGAACAGAGAAGTGAGCCAGTGCTCTTCATGGAGAACACTGATGACCTTGACAGGATCACAAGGCTCAGTCACATGGTGAGCATAGGAGTCCACGGTGGGTGTGTTCAAGAAAGAATGAGAAGTAAGGAAGTGGACATGATAATGACATGACCCTGTTCAGCAAGTTGAATTACGAAAGGGAGCAGAGGATTATGGGACAGGACAACCACTGAGTGATTCTGTTATCTTTAGAATATGCTAATGAGTATGATTCAGGAGAGGGAACTGTTGAGGGTGGAGTGTCTTTGGATATACTGTGTTACGAGAAATATAACTTTTTTTTTTAAATAGAATTTCGTGGTCAAGGGGGTGTGTCATTTTTTTTTTTTAAAGATTTTATTTATTTATTTGACAGAGAGAGATCACAAGCAGGCAGAGAGGCAGGCAGAGAGAGAGGAGGAAGCAGGCTCCCTGCTGAGCAGAGAGCCCGATGCGGGGCTCGATGCGGGACTCGATGCGGGACTCGATCCCAGGACCCTGAGATCAGGACCCCAGCCGAAGGCAGCGGCTTAACCCACTGAGCCACCCAGGCGCCCCTAGGGGGTGTGTCATTCTGATCATGATAAATTACCCTCTGGATGTTGGGTCAGTCAGTACTTGTCAACACTGTGTGCGTGTCTGTTTATCTGCTCTGTCGTAAACAGTTGTCACAGTCTTAAATACTCGCCAATCTGAATGTCTTGGAAGAAATAAAGCTGTGTCCTTCCTCTATATTTTCCTTCAGCTCCTTCTCACCCGTCAGGCAGTGACGTTTGAAAGAGTCTGGCCTGGGGGAAATTTCATCCCATTTCTCTTTGTATTATCTCTGAGAGGAAATCTAAATTGCTTTTCTGGGTGGGCTGCAGAAAACTTCTGTTCCCAACATTGTTTATTCTGGAAAGTTTTCTTTTCTTTTCTTTCTTTCTTTTTTTTTTTTTTAAGATTTTATTTATTTATCTGACAGAGATCACAAGTAGGCAGAGAGGCAGACAGAGAGAAGGGGAAGCAGGCTCCCTGCTGAGCAGAGAGCCTGATGCGGGGCTCGATCCCAGGACCAGGATACCATGATCTAAGCCGAAGCAGAGGCTTAACCCACTGAGCCACCCAGGCACCCCTATTCTAGAACGTTTTCTATCATTCCTTCATGGAG